ACTTTTTAATGCTTTTTTCATAATATTGGAACTACTTTCTACATAAGTTTGATGTTAGTTTTAGAATCCAAACTTTGAGTTTAAATGCATAAAATGTTCAGAGAGTTGTATAATTAATAAATTTTAATGCAGATTCTTGTATACATTATGCCTTTCAAACACAGAACAAATGTTTTCTTAAATAGCAATGACACTTAATATTAGAGACAAAAACAGTATAGGTGTGATATTTTAGCTTTTTGGTAGCTTTATCAAAACACAGCGGTCACCATCTGTTTCTCGGTTTGTTTACCGTGGAACCCACCCATACTTCTCGGCAACCATCATTTTTCTGGTTAAAACTTTTTGTTTTAACATCACAGATGTATATCTAACTAAGAGTCTTCTACTGTTTTGATCTAATTATATATCATTATTGTTAAGACAGAAGTCATCAAAAATATTTGTGTTATATCTGGGTGGTTGAAAGATAATTTGGTGGCCTTTTTTTTTTGTTACCTAGCTAGTTAGTACATCAATTTTTATTTGGCAAAGGTTTTGTAGAACTGTACACTGTAGATTCCATAATAAATACTAATACTTAGATTTGAAATAATGACAAAAAAGATGACAGAAGGTTATTTGTCTATTGAAGTCAATCATTATTTTCACACAGTAAATACCAAACACAATATTAATGTAACTTTTACAACTACATGTAGATTATAGCTGGTTGATTAGTAGAATTTACTGTCACTAATTAATTGATTCCATTTGGCCGATTGATTATTCACATGAGACTTGGACAGTTGGGATAATAAACAAAAGAATAATCAGAAATACTAATTTTCATTAATTGATTCTTTCATAAATCATGACACTAATCAATTAAGCTGCACAACCTTGAATTAATCCAAAATAATAATGAGAAATCATAATGGCAAAATTTCAATTACCTGGATAGTTTGAATAATCGAAAATAGTAATAACCAGAAACACTAACTTTGATTAGTTTATTACAATTAGGAGGACTATTTTACAAGTTAACAATTTGAAGGAAAAATATTTTTGTTTATAAACAAGTCTGGGTGTACAATGTCGGTTTCCAAAAGATAAACTAGATATCTAATTTTCAAATCTATTACTAACCTTCTCATATTAAATATAAGACAGATTATTTAAAGTGGATAGTTTTTCACATCCATATATCCAAAATAATTCAGACTAATACAACAAAGTACAAGTTTGCATTTAGGCATATCAAAAAGTTTAACAGATTACTTTATATAAATCTAATCACTCTCCCATGGAAAGAAAAATCAACAAGTACAAGTATCATATTTCAGCCATGCAAAAAATTTAGAAACAAGCTTTTTTAAGTTCTGTATTGATAAAAGTTAATATCTTAATATCAGTACATGCAATAACCATAAAATCTAGAAGTCTAAAAGTATCATTGTATCTATTTGAAATCCTACTACTAAAAATGTTAAAATATTTTTAACAGTTTATGTTAAGTTAAATTTATTTAAAAATTGTATTGGTCAAGGTTGGTTATTAACTTTTGTCATGAGGTTGGTTTGTAATCTTGATCAGTAGGTTGTTACCAACTTGCAGCCTTGACAACTTATCTCTTGATTCTCACGTCCTCCACATTACATGATGTTACCTATACTGTAACTATCTAATGATAATGTAATGGATTTATGTCGTTCTTCTTTAAATTTAGATGTATTATTTTTTACTAAGGGAGTTTTTAACATCATATTATGAACACGTGACCTAAAGACTAGAATTTTTATGAGAGTTTAGGAAAAGATTTGAACAACATTAAATGTCTGATAAGCAAGACTCTGTTAGATTGTTGATTGATTATTGAGTCAGCTACTTAGTTCAGTGACGTAAACTTTGAGTTAGTGTTACCTCACAGTTTGCAATCACTTAAGGATTCCAACCTCAAACACCAATAAATATGAAACATAGAGTGACAGAATCCATCTGGTCCATACCAATTACCACTAATGCTGTGCCATCAATTAACGTAGGACCTTCCTAGACAACTCCAGCAACATCACTACCTCATCAAATTAAAGAAATTAGCAGACAAGTTTGCAGAAACACATCATATCTATGGAATGGCATAGTTACAACTATGCATCTTTAAATCAATTCATGTGAATGAACATCAGAAAGTGGGATGAAGATTTTCCACTCCTACTACTGAGTTATTGAACAATGATACAAAGCTAAAGACAACATACCAGCATCACTGATGTTTGGGGAAGAACCCAAAGACCTTCTTGTACTCACACCCTAAAGACTGTCACTCGCTAGTCTGAAACAGATATGCAGACAAACTAAGGATCACCACTCATGCTATACATGACTTTACATGAGAAAGATTTAAAAAAGCTAATGACAAGATAAAATGTTGCAATAAATGTAAATGCTGATAAGACAGGATTACATCATAAAAACATGGTAAATGTGCCATGAGACAAGGCAATCTCCAAAGTTAATAAGATATTGAGAAGGATACTATGCTATACTCAATAATATCAATGATGTAATTTATAATCTCTAGAATGACAGGCAGTTTAAGCCAAATGTCATCCATTCTGATCACCTCTGAAAGTACACTGATTAGAGAATGGCCAAGTGGCGAGCTTCAGATAAGAATTTACTAGGGGTAAACCAACCTACTGAAGAGTCAGTTTCCTATGAACATCACTTTCAAAGTATTACCAGGGATGAAGCCACCAGTTGATTCTCTCAGCCATGTATCTGATGAAAAAACCCCAGTAACTAGACAGCAAATGTTGATAAAGGTCAAGAGGTCACCCCATCTTCATACTATAAGCCACAGTAAAGAAAACCACAAAGGAGATTTGGTAACTGTACAATAAAGAAAGATTTTTAGTTAATCAAAATTTAGGTTGTAACGTCTATATTTTTTATATTAATTTTGTTAATTGTGAAAGTTTAAGCTTAATGAACTCTGTTTCCTATGCACAATACGACTGTTCAAGGAACTTAGCAATCCAAGAAGTGAGTGGTGTGTTTTTTGTTTTACTTTACATATTGTTTTAACAAAAGGTAGCTTTTAATATTACGTTATGAGCGCGTTAGCATAATACTGGCATTTTGCTGAAACTGAATGCTTAAGAAAATATTTAAAATACGTGTTAGGTGAGACTAGGTTAGTTTGTTACTTGATTATTCTATACGAATTAGAAAATTTGCAAGTGGAATTGACGGCGAGTCGTTATTTGTTTACGAAGTTAGGCCTATCGTTAGTTATGTGGAACTTGTACAAAGCGTAGAAACTGTGATCAAAGAAAAAAATGTGGGCTAAGTTGACTTTGTATTATTCATTTTACCGAATAATAAAAAAAACATCCCACAACATTTTCAATAGAACTAGCTTAAATATAAATTTAATGTATATTTCTCTCACGATAATAAAAAACAACTTTAAAGTTTGGATGCCTTATGGCGTTACGCTACCTTAAAACAACAGTTTAATTTTCATCGATATGACCTATGTTACTATGTGTTTCCACCATAATGCTTCCATACGAGATGGAATCATCTCTAAAATATTTTAACAGCTGCAGTCACGGCGATGGAATAAATAATGTATATAATTCGATGTAAATCTATTCATTATTAATAGTTTCTTAAATGTAGTGTTTACATTCATCCACTAAGACGAAAGAGATCAACTATGATTATGAAGCCTTGCATAGATATTTAAATTGTAGTTCTAACAATGAACACGTAAGTTGTTAACTATAAATTCTCTATGTTATTTTTTGTAAAACTCACGCAAACCAAACATGCCATATACAATTTGGCTAATAAAATTTCAATATATATTCAGGATAACAATATAAGAAAGAAATTAGAACTGTAAATGATGATTTTAAAAATATCTGCCACGTTTACCACAAGCTTCACATGCAAAACAAATAGTTTTTCTACAACTTAAGGCTTAACACAAAGAAAACAAAATGTACATAACAGTAAATGCACATATATTATAGTATAAAAAGAAAAATCAAGGATGAATAAACAAGAAATTCACTTAAAATGTAACTCGGCTAGGGAACACACTCAAAAAGATTAAAAATTGTAGTTTTTTCAAACAACGAAGAGAAGTAAATTTTTAAAACGCAAGCTCAAACATGAATCACACCTAGGCTATAGCTGTATGCCTAAGTTTCTATGTACAGTTATTTACTGGGAAACTTCAAATAATTACAAATTTTATAACAGTAATTAAAGAAAAGTTTGACCAAGACATTAGCGCGCGCGCGCGCACACACACACACACACACATATAAACACATATTCAATCTTTTAAATCTGCTTTACGAAATATTTCTAATCCACATGTTTTGAACTCTTAGTAGATTTTCATAACTGTCGAAAAAAAGACATTCAAGGCATTAGGTACCTGCAAAATGATCTTACTTCAGTTTAAAATATTTTTAGTTTTATCATAAACCTTCTTATTAATGAACATTCTGATGAAACAGAAATATAGTATATATAACTAATCGCCTATATCTTTGAAAATATTAAATCCATCTTCAGTAAATGTAACTACAAGTAAAACTAATGTCTAATGGTTTGAAATCACCTAAGGCTTATCTAAATTACCACAATTTAAACACTCTAAAACCCAAGAAATACTTCAAAAATAAAAGTAAACTCCGCCGGCATAAGCTCATTTTTATTTTAAAAGTCTACGGTAATATTACAGCTTACCGACCTAAGGCAATTATTTATTTATTTATAACTAAGTTCAAAATTAAAAGTAACATTATCGTTAAACTCCAACACAGACACGGGAACTTACTAATCTAAACATTAATATACAAATGTTACTCACAAACTCAAACAGTTTAATAATCAATGTAACATTATTTGAAATTACAGTAGGTTAACGCTTGCGTAAGTTGCGAGTTTAGTGACTATGTAAGTTGTAACCATGCTTGCTGAAACAGTCTACTCACATCATCCCATTTGATGAATTTGTTCCCATCTTGCAGACTTTTCGGCACACATATTGGTTTCAGCTGCACAACGTGCACGCCAGACTTAGCGCTTGCCATAATCCGACATTGGGTATGGTCAGTTTTTAAAGTTATATAGAACTTATAAGAGAAATTTGTCGTAAAAAACACAGACTGCACAGCACTACACAAACCCTCAGTCGTGCCACAACTGCAGGCAGCCACACTAACGCCTCAAACCACTTCCACAACAGTGTTATGACAAGAAAGAAAACACCATTTCTCTCACTAGGTGGCAACACTATTCAGTTATTATTTAAGAAATAAATATCTCTAAGCCTAATATTAATTATAACAATAACGTTAGATCACATATGCTTTTTATCATATTTCTTTTAATTAAACCATTACGGATTTCAAAGCACAGTTTGTAAAATTATTATCACTATAAAACTACTAACATTTCTAATAATAAATTAACTATATTAAAAAACTTTAATCGTGTTGATAAAAAAATTCCATAGTATCAATATCACAAATTAAACAGAACGAAGTAAGACCCTGATAACTACGTAAATTATTTAAACCAGTAGTTCTCAAATTTTTGATACTTGTCTGTGATACTTAACGCCCCACCCATGCACACCCGTTTGTACATTTACAGTTAAAATTAAAATCCAATTCGCCATTATCACTAAATATTAGAAAATCCTAGCGCACCACAGGTTCAAACAAACATATTTGTAAGAATGCATAACGTAAATTTTATGAGAATATTTCTTACATATTAGTATAGATGTATGTGTGGTATTTATTATGTTATTTTTGTGAACCACTCACACCCCACCCCAAAATACATACTGCGCCGCCAGGGATGGCGCGACCTCAGCTTGAGAATTATTGATTTAGACATTATACTAATTTGGCATGTAAAAGCAATTTCTAAAATAAACCCTTATGATGGAATAGCTCCTGAAGACAATCTAAATATAACAGTTAAGTTGAAAATGAAGTAAAAGACGTATATTTAAGTAGATAGTAATATTTACTGTGAAAGACTCATCAGTCCAATTGAAATTAAAGTTAATGATAAACATAACACGGTTTACAATAATAATATGACATATAAAAAACGCATCAAAATCAAAGAGAATCATTATATTGGTTTTACATCATAATCAATCACGGTGTTTTAACCCCAAAATAATTCTATACAAAATATAGGCGGAGGAGCGAATTGGAAAATTGAGGGGAAGTAGATGCATAGGCGTCATGTACGGATAAATAGTGATGATCTGTATAACAGGTCGTAATAATGGGAAGAAGAGAAGAAGGAGTTACGCTTCATGATGACAGCTTTTAATGATAGTCCTACCTAGTCTCCCCTCAAGCTGATATGTGAGGCTGACATACACAACAATGTAGTTTTGTGACCTCATGCGAGTTCGCTCTTTCAGCCGTGGGGCGTTATAATGTGACGGTCAATCCCACTATTCG